CACAGTTGCTGTTGCCCTTGGGGTTGAGCTGGCAGTGGGAGCCCGAAGGGCAGTGGAAGACCCAGCACTGAATGTTTCCCTCTGTGCAGGCACATTTCTGGGTACAACCAGTGGACAGCCAGGTCTTCCCTGCCTAGAGAAGCCACAGGAAGAGCCAGGGAGTGAGGAGGGAAGGGCCAACCCGCCTCCCTGTTCCCTTTCAGCCTAGGCCGGTTTTAGTTCCGTTGGGCTTTTAGCCCTTAGATCCCCGTCAGAGGTACTGTCTTCCCTTGTGGTTCAAGAGGGGCTATTAGATGCATGGTACAGAAGAGAAAAGTGAAGTAGCAGAGGCTGCCTGATTGGTCAGTAGGACAGCCAGGCTTCCACCTTACGACAGCTTGCCCCCTCCACTAGACCATGCTGCCTCACAGTTAATGGATTCCTCAGATTCAAAAGCCCCAGCCAAGGTGTGGTGGTTACGTCATCTGGTGTCAATTTGGACTTGAGAGGATTAAGAGTGAAGGGGTGGAGTCTAGTCTGTCAATCGGGTCATAGCCGATGAGGCCTCTGTGTGAGATTTCTGGGAACGCCTGCATTTCCTCCTTGGAAGTGGAAAACACTCTCTCTCTCTGCTCACACCCTGGGAGACGTAGCAGCTAACAAGACACATGGAACTACCCTAGAACCCTGGAGCTGGAGAAGCCACGTGGAGACTCCCTGCCAGCGATGAGATGCTTACACTGCCACTGGGTCCACAAGGCTTCCCACCCCCTGGCCTGTGATCCTCCTGCATTTGGCGTCATTGCATGTGTTTTGTGAGTCTGTAGAGGACGTTATAGACTGGTATTGGACATATGGGCTAATATCTGACTTATAGACTTGACCTAGACTGGGATGGGGTATTTTCTCAATATTCCACTGTTCTTGTATATAAAGCTCTTTCTTATACACATATGAGTCTCCCTGGGTTTGTTCCTCTAGTGTACCCGCACTCACACACCAGGCCTTGCCAGACCCCCCCCCCCTTCCCCGCCCCCCTTTGCTTGTTACCAGCCTTCACAGCCTCACGCTGGCATCGAGACATGGGTGTCCCAGGCTGGGGCGCAAAGGAAAGATAAAACTCCATCCTCAGCGTGGGTCCCCAACCCGATTGCCTGTCCCCGCTTACTGAAAGGATGTTGCCGTTGGTAGTCATGCAGCGACACTGACTCTTGAGCACACAGCGGTCCTCGCTGAGCACAAAGCCGGGGTTACAAAGGCAGCCCTCGAAGCAGGTGGAAAAGAGTTTGCTGCGCTCGCACTGGTTCCTCAAGCTCCCGCAGGCAGGCGGGCAGGGGGGCGCGCATTGTGTGTAGCTACTGTACCTGGGACATTTCAGAGCTGTGGGCAGAGAGGAGAGTGGGCCAGAGGCTTTGAGGCAGGGGCAAGGGGATGGAGAAATCAAGCTAGGGTTTGGTTTTGTTCTCCTTTGGGGCTATGAGATTTGGGGCGACATTTTTGACCCTGGGAGTAGTAGTTGAGGGTGTGACATGCGCAGTCAAGGGGGTGACAAGATCTGGGATGTTTTCTTCCTTATTGATTCAACAAACATTTGCTGAGGGACCATATTGGTAGGCCCGGAGGAAAGAAAGAAACAGCATCCCTCCCCATTCAGTGTGGGAGACAAAGGTTAACCAGCAACACAGTTCTGATGTGTATGGTGTGTGTGTGTGTGTGTGTGTGTGTGTGTGTGTACAAGGTGTGTTGGGAGCACAGAGCAGAGAGAGCTAAACTCTGGGGAGTTAAGAAAAGCCTTCAAGGGAAAACAGTTGTGAAGAACTAGAAAGATCTACCGTGTTCTTGGATAGGAAGTCAACAACAGAAAGATGTCAAATTCTCCTAAGTTAATTTATACAGTTTGCATGATCCCAATAAAATATACCACCAGGGTTTTACTCTATTCGGATAAGATGATTTTAACAGGAGGTGAAGAAACTAGAAAAGTCAAGGACACTCTGAACCTTAACAGCAATGAGAAGTGAATGTCTCCACCAGCAATTGACACTCATTTGAACTTCTTAACAACACAGCGCGTGTTCCTGGCACAGGAAGAATCAAATGGTCCGATGGAGCAGGAGCTCCACCTAGATGTTGGCCCCAATAGGCATTTGTTGTTAGTGGCCCTCCAGTCCATCCCCACTCATAGCGGCCGTGTGCAAAAGAACAAGACGCTGCCCTGTCCTGCCCCTTCCTCCCGACTGTTGTGCATCTGAACCCGTTGTTGCAGCCGCTGTGCCAATCCAGCTCCTTAAGGGTCTTCCTCTTTTTTACTGACCCTCTACTTCACAAGGACGATGTCCTTCTCCGCAGGCTGGCCCCTCTTGATGATATGTGCAAAATATCTAAGACGAAGCCTCACTTTCTCACTTCGAAGAAGGATTCTGAATGTACTTCTTCCAAGACAGATGTGTTCGATCTTGTGGCCGTCTGTGTTATTTCCAATGCTTTTCATCAACGTTCTGATTCAAAGGCATTGCTCCTTCCTCAGTCTTCCTTAATCATTACCCAGCTCTCCCGTGCACCTAAAGTAGATATCATGGCTGCACCATTACAGTGACCGTCCCCTCGATGGCGAAGCCTTGCTTTTCACCGGGGCCCTCGGTACAGCTTGGACTTCTTCCTTCCACACCCTTGGTTCTTGGGCGCAGGCTCCTGCCGGAAATGCTTGAGCATCAACCAATTCTTTCTGATACAGTGCTTCTGCGTGTTCCTTGTCTCCTCTTTTGATGCTTCTCACACCAGTATTTGACCCACAGACTCCTTCCATGTCTCAGCTGGAGGCTTGAGTTTTTTCTCCAGTTCTTGCAGCTTGAGACATGCCAAGCATCCCCCCCGGCCTTTTTAAAAAAACTGCCGGTCTTTGAAGATTTCATTACAATACTTTACTTCGTATTTTTGAGCTGCCCTTTGAAGTCTGCTCCGCTCTTTCACGTCAGCGTTTCTTCCTTCCGTTTTAGCTACTCTACCTTCAAGAGCCAGTTCCAGAGTCTCTTCTGATATCTACAGTGAACCCTCGCCACTTCGCGCTTCGACTTCCGCGGCTTCACTCTATCGCGGTGTTTGCGTAACAGCGCATGCTCTGTCATTACTGCCACTGATTGGCTCATACTGTACACGCTTGATGCCATAAATAATATAATAAATAATAAATCATCATTGTAACGTCCAAAATGTTTTACTGTATTTTCCCTTTTTCGTTTAATAAATTGGGTAATACGAGTGTAATGGTGATTAAAGGGTGTTTTTTCATGTCCTCTATGCTCTAACTATGAAAATATTTGATTTACAAATAAGGAATCCTACTTCGCGGAATTTCATTTATCACGGTAGGGTCTAGAACCGATTAACCGCAATAAACGAGGGTTCACTGTACTTTGGTCGTAGTCTTTCTTTCTTGTCTTTTTAGTGACCATTTGTTTGCTTTATGTGTGATGCTCCTGATGCCATCCCACAAATCATCTGGTCTTTGGTCAGCAGTGTTCAATACGTCGAATAGGGGTTTAAGATGGCTTCTGTATTAAGGCCATCATTTGGCTCCCGCGGACGTATTCTAATGTTCCGCCACTCGCACTGGCCAATGAGCAGTGGAGGATGTGTTCAGAAGTTTGCCCTTGGCCTCGTTCTGACTGGTGGGACTGAGCAGCTCCACCGCCTCTCTCTGCAGAGGTCATCCATTTGACGCCTGTGTATTTCACCTGGTGAGACCCATGGGGATAGCTGTGGGTTAGGTTGTTGAAAAAGAGGCATTTCCAATAAAGAGGTTTTAGGCCTTGCAAATTTTTATCATACAATCTCTGTATTACTTCTATTGTGAGGGCCCTCTGAGTATTTTGAAACGACTGATCCTTCTTTGTTTCCAATTTTCTTTCTTTTAAACATTCATTTTATTAGTGGCACATACAACTCTTATCACAATCCATACGTGTATCAATGGTGTAAAGCACATTTGTACATTCATTGTCCTCATCACTCTGAAAACATTTGCTCTCCACTTAAACCCCTGGCATCAGCTCCCCAATTTTCATATCCCAACAGCAACTCACTGCCACTGAGCGGATTCTGACTCATTGTGACCCTATAGGACAGGGTAGACCTGCCCCTGTGGGCATCTGAGACTGTAATTCTTGATAAGAGTAGAAAGACACCCCCCCCCCTTTCTCTCTATCTCTCTGAGCAGCTGTTGGTTTCAAACTACCGACCTTGCAGTCAGCAGTCAACATGTAACCACTGCACGACCAGGGAATCCTTTGTAGCCCACTCACCAGACATCATCAAGGCACCTTGGTTGCATGTTTCATCAATTTCAGACTCCACCAGTTGGTTAGAAAACTCATCAACTTCTTCATCTTTGGCATTAGTGGTTGGTGCATCAATTTGGATAATCGTCTTATTCATGTGTCTTCCTTCCAGACAGATGAATATTATTCGATCGCTGATACCGTCACACTTCAGGAGAGAGCGTGATGAGGAATCAGTGTCTCCCTTCTTCAGCGTCACGCTCGGCGGAGGAGACCATGTACTAGACCACATCGAATTGTCTAACTCAAAATGCCCAATGCCAGCCCATTTCAGCTCAAACCTGGTGCCCCCAAGTCCCCCCCAGGGTCTGTGAGGGTCCCTGGGTAGAAGGCTGAGCCAGCCTCCCTGTTGCTGCTTCTTGGAAACATTAGGTAGACCTTATACCTTTGCAAAAACTCGCTCAAGATGGCCCATATACTTCAATGTAAAGTACAAAAGTAGAGAACTTCTAGAAGATGGGGGGGTGGGGGTGGTAATCTAAGGGACCTTGGATTTTGTAATGATTTTTTAGATGTCGCACCGAGACCACAATTCATGATAGGAAAAAAGCCCACATTGGATTTCATTAAAAAGACCTTCTGCTTTCCAAAAGAGGTTATTAAGAGAATAAAAAGATGAAGCACAGCCTGGAAGAAAATCCTTGAGAAACACATATCTGTTGAGATAAGGGGCTTGTCTCTAAAGCGCACAAAGAGCTCTTAAAACAACAAAAGAGCACAAACAACTCAATTACAAAATGGACAGAAGATCTGAACAGATACCTCACCGAGGAAGAGCTGCAGATGGCAAGTAAGCATATGAAAAATGCCCAGCATCGTGTCACTAGGGAGTTATCAGTGAAAGACACCACGTGTTCAACCCCAAACCAAGCCCCCTGCTATTGAGTCCCTCCCAACTCTTGGCAACCCTACATAGAGAGCCAAGACGAAATCTATGTGTGTAGGAGCCTCACCTTTCTCCCAAGGAGCTATTTGGTGAGTTTGAACCCCCAACCTTGTGGTTAGCAGCTCAACACCTAACCCGCAGCACTATCACGTGACCTATCCCTCACTGCCACGGAATCAGTGCTGACTCCTGGCCACCTGCCGTGGGTTTGGGAGACTGTAACAGTTTACAGCGGGAGAAAGACTGGGCTTTCGATGCCTGCGAACAGTTACAGTCTCGGTAACCCACAGGGGGCTGCCAGCAGTCAGCACAGACCCCATGGCAGTGAGTTGGGTTTTTACGGGCATGGAAAGCCCAGTCTTTCTCCCGTGGAGCTGCGGTTGGTTGTGAACTGCCAGCCATGCGGATTGCAACCAGGTGCGTAACCACTACCCGACCAGGGCTCCATCCATTGCCTATTAGAATGACTAAAATGCAGAACAGTGAAACACCAAATCCAGTCACATCCTGCTGAGGATGTAGAGCCACGGTAGCTCCTACCCATTGATGGTGGGCGTGCATGACGATGCCGTCACTCTGGAAGAGACTTCCGCAACTCTTGTTTTCCAGGCTGCAGAGGCTCGCCATTGAATCCAGCCAGTGCGTTCCTAGGTTTTTCCCCAAATGAGTTGAAAACTTATGTCCACACACACAAAAATCACAGGTGACTGTTTCATCACGACTTTGGTCACAGTTGCCTCCGGTCAGAATCAAACACATGTGAGAGGTGAATGGGTGAACAAACTGGTGTCGCCATGAAAACCAACCAAACTCACGGCCGTGGTGTCAATTCAGACCCCAGCGGACTTTTCCCAGGGAGCAGAACTGTGCCAACTCCCGCCAGAAGAAGAAAGCAACTACCAGGTCCCAGAGCCACAGCAGAGTCTTCAGTGCACGCGCTAAGTGAAGCAAGCCAGTCTGGAAAGGGTGCACATTGTCTGATTCTACCTCTACGACAGCCTGCGGGGCGGGGAAAGGGGGGCAAGGAAACTATGAAGAGAAGTAAAAAGATCATGGTAGCTACAGATTCAGGAGGCGGGGAGAAATAGGGGAGGGAGCATTTTGTGGGGGGCAGTGGAAAGAAGGGCGAATGCACGACGTGTGTTTGTCAAAGCTCCCAGAACTGTCCCGCAGCACATGTGGACCCCAACATCAACTACAGGCATCAGGGGAGGCACCAGAGAGGGTTTACCAGCGATACCAAATGCACCACACGAATGTAGAATATTAATCATAGAGGAAGCGGGAGGTAGGGGAGAAACAATATGGAATTCTTTTTTTCTTAATGGGAATGTTTACACCTTAAAATTCATAGACCTGAAACAGTTCTCAAAAACCAACAAAGGGCCAAAGACCATGTCTTGTATGCCATCATTCAAAAGGCAAAGGGAAATAGCCAACTGGGTTTGCATGTGTTTAAGCAACAACAAAACCCTGTCATCGAGTCGATTCTGGCTCAAGGCTGTAACTCCTTATGGGAGTAGAAAGCCTTTCTCCCTTGGGGGAATGGTGGTTTCAAATGGCAGATGGTGGCTAGCCGCTCAGCGAGTATCTACTCCACCACCGGGCCTTCTCTGTCTGTGTTTCAAACTCAAACTGACTGTCATCAAATCGATTCAGACTCATATCAGCCCTATAAGGACAGGGTGGAACTGCCCCTGTGGGGTTTCCAAGACTGTCACCCTGCGGCATTAGAAAGCCTCGTCTTTCTGCCACAGAGCAGCTGGTGGTTTCGAACTCACAGAGCCCAATGGGGGATGCAGTATCCCTGATGCCACCATGGCTCCTCTCTGTGCGTGCTTAGTTATGCAGAAGCCAAAGCTTGGAGAATACTCGGAGGCCGAGAAAAACAGGCGCCTGGTCAAGGTGGGACCTGGGCAGATTAGGGGTATAGTGGGAGGGAGACTTTTCACTGGGTAGACCTTAACCCAGGACTCCTGGTGGTGTAGCGGCTCCTTATTGGGTTGCTAACTGCAAGGTCAGCAGTTCGAAACCACCAGCCACTCCTTGGAAGACCAATGAGGCATTCTACTCTCATGAAAAGTTACACTCCTTCCAACAGCTCACTCTGGGGGCGAATCAACCATGCGGGGAGGGAATGCCCTGGGATGGATGCGGTGGTGATTGTACAATGCCCCCCTCGATATGTTTGAACTATTCGATTCTATGATATGTAAATTATGTGCCAATAAAATTTGGGGGGGGGGGAATAGAGGTATAGTCTTCAGGGTCAACCGAGTGGCAGGAAGGGTATTTTCTGTTGGATCTCTTGATTCTTTAAAAGTTTTGAACCACGTGGCTGCATTACATACTAGAAACAATGTCATGGATTAGTGTGTTAAAAGTTTAAGGAATTGATGATGGTGGCACAACCTTATGTACTAAAAACACTTTTCAAAGCGTATGATCATATATGAAGAGATCTGGAAGGGTACTAAGGAAAGACATTCAGAAGGAAGCCTTGCCCTCTGCCCCAGAGGGAGAAGGCGGAGGGGCTTTGCGGCGCCTCGGGAATGTTGAGTGCGCTGTGGTGTCTGTTGTGATGACTCATGGTTACTGGGAGGGAAAAGCCACGCAGGGGACACGTGTTTAGGAGAAGAGCGTTGGCAATGGACTCAACAAACAGTCGCCAACGGGCAGCCCTGGTGGCAGGAGGAGGGGACGGGGTCCAAAACAGGTCAGGAGCAACGGAGAAAGAAACAAGAGTGGGGGAGTGAGCGTTTAGGGGTATGTAGAAAGAAACGGGGTTTGGAGCAACTTGGAGGGGATCTTAGGGGTTGTATTGGGGGCAGGGGACGGGTGGGGGGGGGCACTCACGGCAGAAAGTGTTGTTTCTCCAAAATGGGGGCCTGAACCCTTGGGTCTGGCAGGCGACCCCAAAGGCTTGCAGGGCGTCACAGATGGCACGGCTCTCTCCTCCAAGCTCACAGAGGTTGTAGGTACAGCCGGTCAGGAAGGACCTGGGGGTCACCTGGGTGGTACATTCCGACCAGCCGGAGCCCTGAAAGGCTGCTTGGCATTGCTGCTGGGCCCTCGTGATGTCCTGTGGCTTGCAGTTCCGATGCGGGTTCTCCCGGTGCTCCAGCCGAACCTCCCGGTCATCTCGTAGGCAACTGGGGACGGAAGAAAGAGGGTCGACACAGGATGACCACTGCCCTGCCCCCTCCGTGAAGACAATTTGGGGCAGAGACCCTGGAAGAACTCTCAGGCACCCCCTTCTCCCTCCAGTGCTACCTCTCTTCTCTGGGAAAATCCTGTCCCAGCTCCGGCCCACCTCCCATGTCGCCTCCGCTCTCTCCCACGTTTCCCCATTCCCCACACTGGCTGCAGCAACCCTGGGCTCCGGAAGCCATCCTCCCTCAAACTGCAGACATCCAGGATTATTCTGGTCTTCCTGGACCAGGCGTGCCAGACAGTCTAGATTCCCAAACCCTTGCTATCATGAACAGATAAGAGCGTCTCAGGGGATAAATCACTTTGAGTCCGAGTCATCCGTATCTCTCCAGCTGTTCCCAAATTCGATGTCATTCTGGGCTAGCTCATCATTGGGCATCATGAGTTCATCCTCTTCCTCGCCATTGAAGTTCCCGCACACACCACAGACCTGCGTGAGCAGAGGGCGTGTTCGGTGCTGAAGGGCCACAGACGGTCGCTTTTCCTCTCTAGGCAGGGAGGTGCACTAACAGCCTTCCCACTTCCTGGAGAATGACTTCTGTGGCCTTGGGGGGCGAGTGGGTTTGTGGGGAGACACCCGGGCCACCTGCTAGGCTACTTCCCCTTGAAGAAGGCCAGGCTGTGCGTTCACCTTTTGATAATAGGCTTTGGGGATTTGGATCTCTAAGAGATGATTGCCATCAAACTTGACCAGCACCCCCAAGTTGGACTTGAACACAGTATAGATGCCATTGACAGTGATGGTGATGTGCCGGATCTGGGTCACAGGGAGCGTGACTGGTTTGCCGTTGACCTGTCAAGGAAGGCGGTGCCCATGACTAGGAGGACACGCCGTGGCACGGTTCCTCTCTCAGCATCCCCTCTCCTCCTTCCCCACCCATGTCCCGCTGCCCCGTTCACCAGCACATGGTGGTCTCTCTGCAGGACGATGTGGGTCCCGTGGATGTAAATGTTGATGTGGTGCAGGTAGTAAGCTGGGGTGTGGCCACTCTGCTTCTCGTTCTTGGCACTGATCTTGAAGAAAGGCAGGTTCAGGTTGGGGTGGCACACCTGGGCCAGGATGTACGTGCAGGTGCCCCGGAAGGAGTGGTAACTGCCGTCGAAGCTCACGTAGTTGGGGTCTCCTGTGACGTGGCACACTCCCACCAGACCTGTGGGGAGGGAAGGAGACGGTCCAGGGATGGCTGGCCTGCGGCGAGCACAGGATCCCAAGAGAAGTGACTTGGAGTTTCTCCCCACCTTCATGAAAAAGTGTGGGGGGGTGTCCAGAGGGAAAGGAGACGACATTCAAGAAAAGACTCAAGAAGGCCATGAGTGAGGGATGGAGGGGGCCTACGGGCAGAGGGGGATGATTCTGCTAAGGGGCGTTAGACTACTCCCCCCTAAGGGTGATGGGTGCAACCGAAGGATGGGTCAAACTTGGGCAGCACTTGCCCACAGTGGGGAGGTCATCTTTTCCTTCCAGAGGCTCTTCCGCCCAGTTGACTGACCACCTTAAGTGCTCCAGAACACAGGGAGGTGGTGCGGCCATGGTGGCTCGTGTCTTGGTGACTGGTGGGCAGCGGGCTCCTCAGTGGGTTCCCAGCCTTCCTACCTGAGGACCGGCAGCGGAGCAGCCCGTCCAGGGGCCAGCACATCTGGGTGGGGCTACATCTGGTGTGGCTGCAGGTGATGTTGTTTTGGCTGGAGCAGGTGCAGAGTCTGGAACAGGTGCTGTCTGCATACCAGCGCTCTCCGACCTGTGGGACAGAGAAGCCGGAGATGGTCCCCCAAGTCCCCCAAGGGGATCCCCAAGACCCTCTTGAAAACATTCATTCATAACAATTTTACTCCCCTGATGTCAACTTAATACATGTTTTTAACAACTGTGCTTGGGAACCCATCACAAGGTTGGATATATAGCCCATCCTCACCCCAGGGGGATGAATAACAGAAATGTGGGTGAAGGGAGACAACAGACAGGGTAAGACACAAAATGAGCACAATAATATATAATTGATCAAGGATTCACGAGGGAGAGAGGGAGGGAGGGAGAGTGGGGAAGGGAGGGGAAAAAAGAGGAGCCGATTCCAAGGGCTCAAGTAGAAAGAAAATGTTTTGGAAATGTTGATGGCAACCTATGCACAAGGGTGTTTCCTACAATTGAATGATGGGTTGTCATCGGATTGTAAGAGCCCCCCAATAAAATGATTAATAAATAAATTTTTAAAATTATATTTGGGTCGTTCACGAACATTTCATAAGACATTAAACAACGCGAGTCATCATCTCCAGGCACTCCCCTGGTAACTGTTTGTATAGCACATGCAAGATAGGCCAGGATTAAAGGTGGGGGGAAAAATCACGAAAAAGCAAAAAAACCTAAAACCAGTGAACTTCGTGGGTTGTTCGTGTGGATACCAGACGGCTCATTTGCACAGCGTCTTCCTCGTCCATTTGCTCCCCGGTTGCCCCCAACATTTCAATACAAATTAAGCGAGCGCAGGCAAAATAATGGAAGCCAGACACAGGCAGCTTTAAAAGCAATAGAATGTGAACCGTTTCTGCCCTTCTCCCGAGCAATTTGGGTCACCCCTCAGTCTGGGGGAAGACTTCGGCAGCTGGGGGCCCACGTGGGCACGGTGAGATTATGTGCCCACAGATCTTGTCTGGCTTGGATCCTCAATGAGTGCTCACGGAAGCGGCAGTCAAGAGCTCCTGAAGACGTGCCGCATCAGGGAACTCTGCTGCGCCCAGCCTCTTTAGAGTCTCCAAGAGCAAGGATGTTGCCTTGAGGACTAAGATGCGCGTCACCCAAGCCGTGGTATTCTCCATCCTCAAAGGCGTGTGAAAGGTGGGCACGGAAAAGGATGGCGGAAGGAGAATGGATGTGTTGGGACTGCGGTGCTGGAGAAGAAGGTGGAAAACACTGTGGACTCTTCAGAGGGCAAACTGATCTGTCTTGGAAGAAGTAAGACCAGAGTGCTCCTTAGAGGCAAGGATGGAACGACTTCTCACATACTTCGGACATGTTGTCGAGAGACGAGTCCCCGGAGAAGGACATCATGCTTGGCAAAGTGCAGGGGCAGCGACAAAGAGAAGATGGATTCACAGATTGGCTCAAGCGTAGGAGCCCTTGTGAGGCTGGTGTGGGACCAGGCAGTGTTTCCTTCTGTCGTGCACGGGGTCGCTGTGGGTCGGAGCCAACTCCATGGCTCCGAACAACATTCCATAAATGCACCTGGTTCAACACATGCAATCCACAGGACAGCTATCTCTGCCAGAGTCCCCAAGGCCCTCTGGAGCCCCTCCCCACCAGGCTCCCTCCTGGAGGCCGCACTGATCTAGCCAACCCTGTCTAGGGCTCTGAGCCGTCCTACTTCCTGGCCTGGGCTTGGCTTGCCCCTGGACTTGCGGCACTGTGACGGGAGGGCATGGGCTGCGGCGGCGCTCTCACCGGGTGGTAGGAGCCCTGCTTATCGGTGCAGCCACACTGGCTGAGGGGCACACAGGAGATCCCGCTCAGAACGTGGCCCCTCTGGCACTCACAGCCCTCGGCACAGGGCAGGCTGAGCGGGCATTCTCTTGGATTGTCCATGCTGAGGCAGGTGGTTGGGCAGGGGCTGGTACAGGGACTGTAGCGGCTGCCAGGTGGGCACTTGAGAGCTAAGAAGAGACACCAAATCAGGAAGGGTCTGGGTGGCATTTCTAGCTCCCCAACCTTGGGAGCAAGAAGGGGCGAGAGCTAGCCGGGGGAAGGAGGCTGTCCCGGTGGATGAGGTAAGCCCAGAAGGAGGCCATGGAGGGTAGCGATCGGGCATGGAGAGGAGGGTCCCATGTCGGGGCAGAGGGCCAGGCTGAGAGTCAGAGAAGGACAAGCCCACCCCACACTCCCAGACGCCCAGTCGGTTCTGACCCAGCGACCCCACAGGACCGGTTAGAACTGCCCTGGTGGGTTTCCGAGACTCATGTCTCCCAAGGAGCGGTTGGTGACTTTGGCCTGCTGACCTTGTGGTTAGCAGCCCAGCATGGAGCCACTACGCCACCAGGGCTCCCAGGGTAGGATCAGCATTTTAGCAAGAAAGAGGAGACCAGGGGGACGCAGCAGGATGCCCCCGGGGTTGTGGGAACAGGTGGCCACATCACTCACGGCAGAAGGTGCTATTCCGCCAGGTCAGGGGTCGGCCAGCCTGGGCGCAGAGGGCCACGTAGGCCTGTAGGGAGTGGCACAGGGCCAGGGTATTCCCGTGGGTCCCAGACTGTCCATCCACACAACTGCTGAAGCTGGCTTGCGGGGACACCACCTCGTGGCACTGGGAGAAGGGTCCTACAAGGTGAGATGGGCAGGTGTGAGGGGAGGTGGGCCACGGAGGGGAGCAGGCCTGTGGAGGCGACCTCTGCACCCACGTCAGGCGAGACCCAGGTTGTCTCCGGAGAACCTCTCCCCTGTGACCCAAGGAAGAGCCCGGGAAAGGGGCCTCGGTGCCAGCATTTCCTCTCGCCTTCCTCCTGAGGGGCCGTGGCACTGCGGTGATGCAATCCACGGGGTCAGTCGTTCAATTCCACCAGCCTCTCCGAGGGAGAAAGGCGGGCTTTCTACTCCCATAACGAGTCCCGCTCTCAGAAACCCATAGGGCAGGTCGACCCTGTCCTATGGGGTCACGCTGCCTGGGAATCAAACTCTCTGGCAGAATCTGCATTGGGTCACCCTTTCTGATTTTCCCAGTTCCTGGGTTTCAGGATCCTGGCTCTTTCTCTGTTAGTAACCAGCCTCCCACCTTCCTCTCCAATTCTGGGGGCGGGTCAAGGGGCCAGGAGGGGGTGTGGCTTACCATAAGGACTGATCAAGATCTCACAGTTCCTGTTCCAGATGTTGGCCACATTTTTCTCTGGGTAGTTGGGGGTCTTGCCACCCGCAACAAAGCAGCTGAATGAGCAGAGGAGGGGGCGTGAGCTAGAAACCCAGACCCGAGGAGAAGCAAGTGGAGGAGGGGTGAGCAGGGAGGGCGGTGACAAAAATGGCACCCCTCCCGTGGGAAAGCCAGAAAACACAGCAGGTAGGACACAGGTTGGACGTCCGGCAGACGTCTTCCCAAGAGAGCGCTCCAAAGATCATTCCAGTAGGGAAGACCCAGCAGGCATGGTGCTAGGAGGTCAGAACCACTTTTCTATTTTAACCAAAGCCAGGCTCAAGAGAGCAGGGTGCAGGCCAGCACCAGGAGTGAGGGGCAGCGGGAGGGGGGGGGGCACGGGCTACTCTCGGAGGTCCAGCCCCCGTCCCCAACTCCCAGTTTGCTGCTCACCCAGATTCAGAGGCAGAAGGTAACAGCCAGGCTGCACCCAACTGGACAGAGTTTTCGGCTGGTTTTTTATCCGGACCCAGGTTGTCATCGGAGCTGTTGTTGTTGAAATTCCCTGAGGAAGCCATGAAGGAGAGGAGGGAGCGCTGGCACCCTCGCCGCTCACTCAGGTCACCAGGGTCCATGCATGAAGGCCAACCCTTTCTTTTCCTCTGTGTCCCCTAGGACTCCGCCCCCCTGGTCAGTGTCCTCGGTTGTTGAGCACTTAGGACACCAGCTGTCAGTCCCTAGAGGACTAGGATTAGGGCTGTGCCCCTAGAGGTGCCAGGGAGACTCACCACACAGCCCGCAGAGCCGGCCGACATAGGTGGAGGGCACGGTGACGTCCACCAAGTGGCTCCCATCATATCGAACCCGAAGCCCAAAGTCCGTTTGGACCAGGATGAAGGAGCCACTGAGCGCCACGCTCATCTGGCCTTGAGCCAGCCACAGAGGCAGGGCCACCCGGCGGTTGCTCAGCTGCAGGGCAGGGAGGGCACGGGAGCCGCGTCAGACGGGCACTCGGGAGCTCGAGATGAGGATGCAGGCAGAGGGGCTCTCACCATCAGAGGAGGGAGGCCACGCAACGAGGGTTTGGGGTCTGCTGTGAGGGGCCTCAGGCACCACAGGTGGGGGCAGGAAAGGTGCAGGGCGGAGGAGCCGGGCAGGCGAGGGCAGTGTGGGGGCTGGGGCTCGCACCATGACCTTGCGGCCTTTGATCAGCGAGAGCTGGACGTTGAAGGCCTGCACGTGGACAGCCTTGACGTAGGAGACTCCCAAGTCCCCGCCTCGGTTCTCGTTGGTGGCGCTCACAGTGAAGTAGTTCTCCTGGGGCTCCACCAGGCAAAGCTTCGTCAGCAGGTAGGTGCAGGTGCCCATGAAGTGGTGCAGGGCCCCATCAAAGGTCAGGTAGTGGGGGTCCCCGGAGATGCTGCAGATACCGATCCCTAGGGTGGGGGTGGGTGGGGGGATTCAGAGACTCACTGTCGCACTCCGAGACCCCTGCCCCAGAGCCGCCACATTGGTGAGTCCAGATTGGGATATGAATGATGCCCACCCCCCACCCCCACCCCAGACCATTTCTGTGTCTCTGGGAGGTATGATCTTGGCTTGCAGATGACAAGGGTCAGAGGAGTGTCTGCCCTGGAAGGCACTGCGTGGACCCTGAGAAGACACCTCTGCTCTGGTCATCCCCCAGCCCACGGCCAGTCACAGTCCCTGCGGCCGCTCACCTCGGGCGTGGCAGCCGTAGACTCCATCTTGCAAGATGCAGACTTCCCAGGGCCCGCACTGCCAGGGCATACAGTGGATGCTATTGTTGCCCTCACAGTGGCAGCGCTCCGTGCAGCCTTCTTTATACCAGCTCTCCCCGGCCTGGGGGAGGAGAGAGAAGCCAGAGCTCACCCACAGGTCTACTGCCGCCACCGGGATGACCTGGGGAGCCTGGCTCCTGCCGCCTAGAAGCTCAACGCTTTGTGGGGGCAAGTGTGGTCCCCATTGGCTTATCGACACTTCTGGTCCGTGGTTCAGCCGACCGCTCTCTGGCCTCCTGGAGCATGCTGGGAGGGAGGGACTCTGTGCTGAGCAAGGTGGACAAGGGGACTGTCCCAACAGACTCACACCCCAGCGTAGGGCAGGGAACAAGCACATCAAGAGCAACGTATGCTCCAATACACCTGACACTCCCACAAGGCAGCCCAGGGCCGGGACGCCGCAGTGTGCCCTTGGTCAGACAGAGGCTGTCTGCCTGACCGTCACCAGGGAGGTTTCCAAAGGAGGAAGCGTTTCAGGGGGCTGTGGGAAGGGAAGTCCTGGGGGTTGCGTGTTGGGCTGCTAACCTCGAGGTCAGCTATTTGAAACCCCCAGCTGTTACTCGGGAGAAAGGGGAACAGATCACAATAAGCCACGTCTAACAACTCCCTCCCCCGGCCCCCACTCCAGGGGGACGAATAGCAGAAACGTAGGTGAAGGGAGACAGCGGACGGTGTAACAGATGAAAACTAAAATAATTTATAAATTATCAAGGGTTCACGAGGGCGGGGGGAGAGGAGCTGAGACCAAAGGGCTCAAGTAGAAAGAAAATGTTTTGAGAGTGATGATGGCAACATACGTACAACTGTGCTTGACACAATGGATGGATGTGTGGGTTGTGATAAGAGGTGTACGAGCCCCCGATAAAATGATTTTTTAAAAAGCACCACCAAGATAGAGGTAGGACCCCAAAAAGCTCCTGCTCCCTGCCATCAAGCGGATCAGGACCCCGAGCGCCCCTACAGGATAGAGCAGAACTACCTCCCCCTTTGGGGGGCATCTGAGACCTCAGATCCTCACAGCCTTGTCTATGGAGCAGGTGGTGGGTTTGAACCGCCAACCTTACAGTTGGCAGCTCCCAGAGAGAGAAGGGCAGGGAGATCTGGAGGCTGAGGAAACCGAGATGGGAGCAGAGGGTGGGAGGGGCGGCAGGAAAAACAGAGGGAAGAGACCCAGGGGTCTCAAGTTCCTCATGAGGGGAGGACTGGGGGGGAAACCATTGTGCAGGCTGCCTAATGGGGACTGTCACCGAAGAGAAAGAGGGTGCCGACTGCCAGCTAGAGGGCCCGAACGCCTGCCAGGCCCCTGCTTTTTGCTATTGCCCGGGCTTGTAAACGTTTGCCACACGTTTCGGAAAGGGAAGACCTATTCGTTTGGCTGGAGGGGTGAGAGGGACACCTCTGGCTGCTCACCTTCACATAGGACCCTGGGGAGCGCAGGCACCCACACTTGTCTTTGGGGACACACTGCAGGCCACTGAGGACGAAGCCCGGGCTGCACTCACAGCCCTCGACGCAGCGGTCAGGGCAGGCCATGCCCGAGAAGCCAGAGTAGCAGGTGTCAGGACAGGACTTGGTGCACAGGGAGTACTTGCTGTTGGATGGGCAGGCCAGAGCTGGTGGGGTGGGGGGGGGAGGCACAAAAACACACACAGAGCAGCAGGGGTGAGGGGGCCGTGTGGAGAGAGCCCATTGCAGCTTTGCTGCCTGCCCCCTCATCACGACCCCTCGGGGCTGCCCTCTGCCCATCTCCTGTCAAGAACGGACTCTTCTCCCATGTCTCCCTGCGCCCCCCTTTCTCAGTAGTTGGCTTTGCCATGCGTGCTGAGGAGGGGTGTGTTAGTCACCTAATCTGGTGTCAATTTGAGGATTAAGAGTATAGGGGTGGAGTCTAAATCTGGAGATAGCCAATGAGACTTCTGTGTGGGCATGGCCTTCTCCTGAGAATTCTGGGACTTCCTCCTTGGAGGCGGAAGACACCTCTCTCTCTCTGCTACTCCCTGGGAGACATTGCAGAAGACAAGCCACATGGACGCAACCAGACCTCGGAAGCCGGGGAAGCCACAGAGAGACCCCTGCCAGCGCTGAGATGCTTACAGCGCCACTGGACCCAAAGGCTCTCTACCCACTGGCTTGTGATCGCCCTGCATTTGGCTTCATTGCGTGTGTTCGTGAGTCTGAAGAGGACTTTATAGATTGGTATCAGACATATGGGCTAATATCGGACTTATGGCCTTGGACAGGACTGGGTTCTTCCTTAATGTACAATTGCTCTTGTGTATAAACCTCTTCCTTATATACATATGTGGGTCTATGGATTTGTTTCTCTAGTCTACCCAGACTAACATAAGGATCATCCGGATTCAGGGGGCAACAAGTTCGGTGTCCCAAGGGTGACAATTGTAGCTTCGTGCCTGGGTCAGTTACAGCCTGACGGGGTGGGTCCCTCTGCTGAAGATTCTACCTTCAAGGTGTGGGACCAAGGGGTCACCATGAACCAACCACAGTGTGGCCCAGGAGGGAAGAGCCTCACAGGGCTGCTTTGGGGGCCCAGACACCAAGGAAACGGAGCCTTGTCCGTGGGCCCCACACAGCACGTATCTAGACTGTGTGGACCTTTGGTGGCAGGGCACCCAGAAAAAGAGGTCCAAGTTCACGCCACACAGCCTCTTGTGGCTCAGGGGGCTTTCTGAGGTTGCAGGTGTCTTTGTGAATTCCTCGAGGGCCCCCCCACCCCGGCCACCCCCCCAGCAGATTTTCCTGTGTGTAAGTGCAGGAAAGCCAACTGGGCGAGCCAATCCCCACCCCCACCCCCCTGAGCTTGAACGGACACCCCTGCTGGGTTCTGAGACTCTACTAGGTCCCAGGGAGGCCCTGCACCCTCTGCCCTGTTCTTGGCACAACTCACGGCAGAACTGGGGGTCTCTCCAGGGCTTCACCATGCGGCCGGCCTCCTGGCAGGCCTCCGTGAGGGCCGCCATCTGGGAACACAGCATGTGCTGCAGGCCCTGGAAGTTACACATGTCCAGCACGCAACTCTCGTAGTAGAAAAAGGGCTTGAGGTGTGGCAGGCAGGCCCTGAGGAGGGGCACGAGGGTCACAGTGGGTGAGGGGCCTGGCCCTCGCAGGAGCCAAGGCCCCAAGGTGCCCTGCCCGGCCAGCCCTGCACTCCTGCATACCCAAATATTCCCTCGGGGTCGATAAGCCGTCCACAGAACTCCGGCCCCAGCAGTTGGTTATGCAAAGTGGAGTCACAAGACGGTGGATTGGCCAGGTTTCTCTCGCACCTGGAAGAGACCCAATCCCCTGACCCTTAGGGATCAAGGCTTGCAGTCCAGCTCTGGGGCCCAACTCAGCTGTGGGCAAGGGGGAAGGAACCTTCTCCAGGCTCTTGCCAGCCCCTGGTGGAGAGCCCGTGAACATGCAGCCCTGCCACACCAAGGAACCAAACTCAGAGTCCATTGGGATTCAGGGAGACCCTAGACCACAGGGCAGACCCGCCCCCTGTGGGTTTCCAAGAATAGAAATCATCTCTGGAGTACACAGCCTCATCTTTCTCCCTAGGCCCAGCAGGTGGTTCCTGAACGGCTGACCTTGTGGTTAGCAGTTCAACAGGAACCCTCAGAGACTGGCCAGCAGGAGGGGGCGGGCGGGGGGCTTCTCAGCATGATTGCAGGCTTGGTGCACACTCAGCTGCCGAGTGAGACCTGGGAGGTCCCAGGGCTCCCGGAGGCATGGCAGGAGAAAGACCTGGAGACCCGTTCCCCCTCCACACAAAATCCACAGCACCCTTCTGCTCTGCGATGCACAGGGTCACGAGAATCCTGGAGCGATTCTACAGTGAGCGGTTGCTTGGGTTTTTGTTTTGCCAGCAGTCGTGGGCCTGAGTGGGAGCAGGAGGAGGCTGTCTACACGCCCCCCCAAGCCCTCCCGCCCCCCCCCCTGTAAAGAATCAGCCTCAGAAGCCCACAGGGCCAGTTCTCCTGTCCTGCAGGGTCAACATGAGTTGGAACCGACTCAACGGCGGCCAGTTGGGGGTGCGTTTTGGTGGGCACGTGAAGGGGTGCTGATGACTTCCTGGGTGCTAGAACTAGGTGATGGCAGCAGGGGGTAGGGGAGCAGAGTGGGGAGAGACAGCCTGGGGCTTCAGAGGAGCGGGAGGACGGAGACGAGCTGGGGGGTCAGCCTGGAGCCCCTGGGGAGGACACCTCACTCACTCCTTCTCCCGGTCCTCCACAATTTGCCAGCTGTTGCCCAGTTCCTCGTCATCCCGGGCCAGGGTCCCGTCCGGCTTCTGGTTGTCGTTGCTGCTGTCGCCATCGTAGTTCCCACAGAACCCACACAGTCCGTTAAAGTAGGTGCTGCCCGCAAGGAGAGCAGGGGCAAAGTGAGGTCTAGGGCCCGGGGGCGGGAGGGGCTGCACGCAGAGACTAGGGGGGCCCAGGAGCAGGATTAAGAAGTCAGGGGCCAGAACAAGGGCCCCCAATGCCAGGTGTCAGGTCTAAGAGGGCCTCACAGCCCCCCCCCCACTGCACCCCCAGGCACCGTCACCCTCTACCTTCCTTCTGCGGTTTAAGGCCCATCTCCCAGCCGCCCCAAATCCCCCAAGGCTCTAAATCTTGCCCGCCCGTGTGTGCCCAGGGTTCTTGTAAAGTGTTTCTTTCTCTCCTTTATCCCTCTGGGGAGCAGTTGCTCCTGGAAGATTGGGGGGGGGACAAGTGGGGGGTCTCAAACAACCACTGTTCTGAAAGCTCATCAATGCCTTGGGACAGTTCCCGCCAGCACAGTCCCAAAGCCTCATGCCGACCTCCTGCTGCCAACATCCTCCTCGGCAGGCAGGCAGGCCTTTCCTTCCTGCCTGCTCCTCTCCTAGGGCAGAGCTGGTACAATGCCCGCCTGCCCCCCCACCGCCTCTGTACTGAGCTCTGTGCTCCCTACCCACCGGGAGGTTCATCGATGGCTGAGGACTGGTAAGTAGAAGGAGCAGAAGAAAGAGAAGAAGCGGGCG